GGTCCCGGCCACAAAAACGCCATAACGGGTTTGCCTGCGGGGGCAGCCCACCGCCTCCATTATTTTGGTATCCAATAATTTTCTGGGCCCAATTTTAGGGCCAAATAACCCTGAAACATTGCCCATAACCCCGATTTAGGTGAGGCTTCTACTTGTAAAAACTGTGGTCCCCTGGAAATCTCGTTTATATGGGCAAATTTTCTTTTAAGTTGGACAAAAAAACTGGGGGAAAAACTGGAGGGGTTATGGTGCTAAAAAAAACTATATGGGGGGCCCCAATATTGGGGGGTACGCATCCAAAAATATTTGATCGATTTTGGGTTCCATAAATTTGGGTTCAAATATCCCAATATTTTTGAATGAAAAAACCAAAACTTTATTATGGGGAGGTATGGGCCTAAACTAAAAAACTACAACATTTTTTTCTATGTTTGTCCAGTTCATTATGCTAATACTAAAAACTGGTGGGATTTTTTCTGTGTTCAAAAATTAATCGCAAAAAAAAATGGAGCAACATAAAATGGGCCCCAATAATTCTTCAGGTTCGGCGATAATTAGCAAAACTGGGTGACTTCGCCTCAAAAAACAAAACAATAGAATTACCTCAATTAGGGTATCAAATATGCTTTTTCATGGAAATTTTTCAGAATCAAAAACGTAGGGGGAAATTTGCGTCTCATTGGGATCCTTAGGTTTTGGATACAGGGAATTTTTGAGTTAGGGCCTTTAAAAAAGGATTTTGGCGGCACAATTTCCAAAAATTTTTGGCCACTGCTTAAATCTGTTTGGATTTGGGGCCGCCCAAAATTTTTTTTAAAGGGGGGCCTAACAACCTCAAAAATTTCTGTCCCAATAAAACAAAACTTAAGGGTCATGGGGAGGGGACAATTCTTACGTTTTGATCTGAATAAATTTTTCCATTTGAAAAAAAATATTGGGAAAAAAAAACCTAAATGAGGTTCTATTCGGTTTTGAAGCCGAAGGTCAGTTTTTGCAAAAATTATCGCGGGAACCTGAAAGGATATGGGGGGGCAATTTTTGCCTCATTTTTTGCGATTATATTGATAAACTCCGGTGGGGGAATCCCCCACAGTTAGGTAGATACTTGAAATGAATTGGACCAATCATATTTTAGAGAATGTTGTGGTTTTCTAGGCATACCCCTTTCCATATAAAGTTCCTGGGGTTTTTCATTCAACAAATCATTTGATTATTTGACAATTTAATGGGGACCCAAAAAAAATCGATTTTTCCAAATTTTTGGTGCGGTTACCACCCCCAAAACATATGGGGCCGGGCGTTTCGTTTATTTTTACATGTATTTGGGCGCCAAATAAGGCTTCTTCGAACTTTTGTTGAGTGTAGACCAATGTAGCAAAATGGAACGGGGATTTTTACTCTTTGGGACGTTAAAGAGTTCCTGCGAAGGGATTGGGAATTGGGAAATGGGGCATTAACTTTCCCACCAAAAAACTCCCAAAAACAAGGGTAACAAAGCACGGTTTGATACTGAAGAGTATTTATCCACCAAGGATTTTGCGGAGACCTACGGTTCCCTTAGAAAGGGGCAATCCGCAACAAGACTTCAAGTCATTCCCCTGTTCGATGAATTGAAAATTCAAAAAACAAGAGGATTGGGGACGGGAATTTCGTATCACAAAACCCAAATTTCCTGCTGACGAAATAAACCACATTCAAACCCTTATTGAAGCCGGAAAACAGGAGGGAGGAAAAAAAAAAAGGGTAGGCGCTTGGGTTCTTGAAAATCAAATCGAGGGATTTTCAAAAAGTTAATATTTCGTCACGAGGTTTTGGGCGGGGGGACAAAAGGGGGGTTGGGAATAGGCTTACCCCGCTGCTTTTGGGGGGGGGGAAACTATAGGGGGTGACCCCGTGGATGGGGATTTTACTGATACAAGATCTGAAATACTGGGAGGAATAGAAGGGTGGGACAAAATTTACAAAAAAATTGGGGGGGAGGGATTAAGGTGTAGGGAGTGAAAAATGCGAGCACCCAGGCAGGGGGGGACTCCAATTGAAAAGTTGGAAGGGAAAAGCAGGTTCCTCAAAAAACATTCCATTCATCTTGAAAAACCCATTCATCTCTGGTGAGGAGGTAATAGAAAACGCGGGAATAACCAGGTATAAATTGACCAAGGGCGGAACATGGGGGTTCCCACGCCAACCTGGAAATCGCACCTGGAAATTATTTTCTTTTACCATAAGGGGGCGCGGTTTAACCCTTTATTACAAAAGGTTCACATAAACTATCTCAAAGGAAAACCCCCCCCCCCCCCCCCCCCCCCCCCCCCATAACAGATTTTCTATATAATCAGGTAATTTGGCAGTGTCCTCAAGATTGCCACTCAAGCTGTTACGCGACCTTACCATTTGAAGGCATGGGTCACATCCTTTTATGTAAATTTGCAGCCGTCTCACATAATCCCGCACTATATAGTGACAACACTATATAGTGACAAGCACTTTATAGTGACATGTCACTATATAGTCCTGTCCATAGTTGGTTCGTGCGTCAATTTTTCGGGAAAAGTACGTAAAGTGCGTTTGAATTATTTCGTGCGTTAAAAGTGCGTTTAAGTACATTTACCGTTGAATTCACCGTTTTACGTTTTTTCGTACGTTAAGTGCGTTATGTTTTAAAAGTACGTTAAGTGCGCACGAACCAACTATGATCCTGTCACTATAAAGTGCATCTTGCACACTATATAGTGACATGTATAAACAGTGCATGTATAAACAGTGCAAAAGTTAAATTGCAGCATAAGTATTTGTATAAATAGTGCAAAAGTTAAAATGGTGTAAAAGTATTTGTATAAATAGTGCAAAAGTTAAAATGGTGTAAAAGTATGAACACGATCACTGATCAGGTGAAACTGGCCGCATTTGAGTGTATTCATGACTTAATTCTGAGTGCCCCTCAATTATCTAACAGTAATACTTGCACTATTTATACAAATACTTATGCTGCAATTTAACTTTTGCACTGTTTATACAGACTAGCAGGAACCCGTATAACCCTAAAATGGTGTCAAGACTCGACAAGAGACTAAAATAATTATTATCTATTTAATTCGCGTTTTTGACACCACTTGGGGGTCCAAATTTGGGGCTCTAAAACTTCTATTTCTTGGCCAATTTTTTATTTTTTCATGCTGATTTGGAGGCCATTAAAGCATTTGGCCCAGTCTAAAAACTTTCAGTTGTATATCTTTTACGGTTTTTGCGGAAAGTAGCGTTAAAGTTGATGCCGTGGTGTCAGTAAAATGGCACGGATAAACATACATCGTCTCGCTTTATATATAGTAAGATACTATTACTTTTGCTACAATTTATCTGCGATAATGAAGTTCCAGCCGTTCGTGTTATAGCTGTAGGTACGGGTTACACTAGTGCAAGGATAATTGTGTCAAGTTTAATCATTAATATGGGTTGGATTGTACTGATCAATTGCGATTTACTCATTTCATTCGATACTTTTGTGATAACAGAAATTAATTTTGGCAACAATAAATCCTTTTACGAAGCAGGAGATTAAAAATGGCGGGACACTGCATCCGACATCCTGAGCTACTTGCCAGTGATTTAGTCTTATGGGAACCTACGCACGGTAGAGCACAGCAAGGCCGACCAAGACAAAGCTACTTGTTTATGTTACTGAAGGAAGTTGGGACAAACTCTAAAGAGGAACTGCGAACCCTGATGCGGGACAGGGATATATGGAGGGGGTTTTCTGGCGTAGATCGGACTTAGCTCCGACATAGTAGTAGTAGTAGTAATAAATCCTTTTTACGGAAACAATACAGCAGCCTAGCCTCTTTGCTTTTAACAGTGGTACACGTACGTACCGTACACGTACGTACCGTACACGTACGTACCGTACACGTGCGTACCGTACACGTACGTACCGTACACGTACGTACCGTACACGTACGTACCGTACACGTACGTACCGTACACGTACGCATCGTACAGTAAACGTACGTACATACATACACAAGTTGTTTACCACCTTTCCTGTTTGTCGAATATCTTTAGTTGTGAACATTGTAAAAGGTTCCAGATTAATGGAGGGTTTTCATTTCATCAGGAAGAAAAACTTTTGTAAAGTCAATTTTTACGTCAGATAATCATTTAATTTGATAATTATCAATTAGCTAATCCTTAATATATAACAGCCACTATACAGCCTTTTTTTAAGGCCACCACTTTCACTGAGTGATAATTTAAAATAGTTTTTAAACACGATCAGTTTATTTTATTTATCCTGAGTACGTTCCTATTAACAGTTGATGAAAATATAACATGGGCAGACGTTGACTCCATTCCACATTAGGCTCAATGGGCACCGGAGCAAGTTCAACATTGACGACCGTGCCCTCTACGAGCACTCAGCCTTATCAATGCATTGTTACGATGTACACAAGGACACTTTCAGTTTTGACTGTTTCAAATTCGGGATTGTGAAAAAGACTAAACCTTCCCTATTAGATAGGGAAGAGGCTAGATTTTGTGCAAAGTTTAGGACTAATGTTTGGGATTTAAATAGGATGGAAATTAAGTTTTTTGTGGTTTTTACCAATATCTGTAATTTATTAATTTTACCAATTTTGTGCCAATTTTGCGTCATTTTTCTTTATAAATTTTATCTACCACGCTGACAGTGAAACAATTTTATCGTATTCCAATTTCTGATTGACTTTCATGATATTCTCTAATCATGACCTTTTTATAAATTTTTGAATCTCTTTGACTGAGTATTATGATTGATTTTATCTGACTAATTTATTTCTTTTTTGTAGTCTCTAGCGATGTATTAAACGAAGTTTCCAAGCCAAATTTGTGTGTTTCCCTTCGTGTCCAAAATCAATCAATATAACATAGTATTTGAAATGTTTTATTTTGCTTAATACTTTAATTTCATGTGGACTCCAATATTTGTTTACTTTTTAGAACTTGAAGAAAAAATAATTTTTTCACTTTAGTAAAAGGTTTTGAAAAAGAAACATAGCATAATTTGAATCGATCAAACCATGCAAAATAAAAGTGATGGTTAAGCTTGCGTGCAACTTTGCAGAATACTTGGTAATAATAAAGCAACTCATATTAAGCTCATTACGTATCATAAGTCTGTTTATTGTTAACTCGGTGATCAGAGGAGTATTAAATTAGAATTTAAAATATCAGACTATAAATGTTGCACAAAACAAAACAGATCATATCAAAATCTTCTGAAAGTTAAACACATTTAAAATTGATGAACCATCCATATCGCAAATTTTCATTGAATATTGCGTTTTAGTTTCCTGAAATATCTGAGATCAACTAATAATATAATTATATAATCAACTACCTAGTAATATAGCACAAAAGAAAAACGTCACAATAATAAGGCAGTTTGTCATACTTCAGTCTGTTCGTTATTAAGTCTGGGTGGTCAGAGGAGTGTTGACTGGACTCAAAACATCATACTTAATATATCGTCCAACGTTTCTAGCGTCAATTTTCGCCTTCAATCCCCTCATTTTCTCCGTCATCCGTTGCATGCACGCCTCCTGCTCAGGAGAAACAGCCATGTTCTCTCCAAAAATGCCAAGTTTGTTCTCTCCAGGTGAGTCGAGGTAGAATCTCTCAATAGGAGAGTACTGTCCCAGGTTATTTGATATGTTCATGGCAATGAAGTGGAGCTCCAACACAGGAAGAGCGTCCAGTATCATATCCATGGTGACCTTTGTATCTTGTTTAGGAGGAGGGAGGGTCATGCACGAGGGGACATTCGGCGGGAAGGTGTAAGTGGTGAATGTCTGGAAGTTGACCGCGGTATGGAACACAGAGATGTTGACGATGACGCATGTTAGATACTCAACTAGCTGTTCTCTATTGGCCATTGATCGTGGGAAACCAGCACCGTTTTCGTAGCCATGGAAGCCAAAGTCAACCAAGTCTTTGAAGACGTTCTGAAGCTCAAGATCTTTGACGACGTCTTCATCGGAGGGGTATGTCAAATTGACCATCTCAGAGACGTATTCACCGATGTATTTCCAGTAATCAAGAGTGTCTTCTTTGTATAAATACTCAGGAATGTCTTTAACACCACGTTTTTCAAAGTTCTTTTCTAAATTCAGGTCTGCGTAATCAAAGGTTTGGTAGTAGTTGTGAAGAAGTATCTTCAAACTATCACCTGCTGAGAGGAATAGGGCAAAGGCATTTTGATCAGGATTTATCAACACAGCTCTTGCTTGAACATTGACCGGGATTATACCCTGAATGTGGGGCTGCAGTAACCTAAAGATGGGATGGGCATTTGGCAGGTTTCGGTAAGCTGCTACTGCAAAGATTTCGTTGGTGGCGTGACCTCTAGCGTAGTGGGTGCACAGAGAATATACACCTAGATCAGCACACCTAAACCACATTTTGGCGTATAGCCAGGCTAGATGTTCGGGGTCATTCAAATCCGTTATATCAGGACTAGGAGGGGACCACCAAGTTTCAGGCTCCCCATCAGCTCTGTTTTCTAATCGAATCAGAACAGGAACCAACTTTCCATCATCTCTCTGATACAGAAGACAATCGGCGAGACACACATACCAAGTTTGTGCTGTTCCGGTCAGCTTTTTGCTGAATGCCCCACCATGAGGGATACCAACTAAGTCGTCGAAGCAAACCTCAAACAAATGTCCTTCTCCTATCACGTCCTGCACGGATTTATTTTCCAATGCGTGGTCGGGAACTGTTCCTCCAGCCCAGCGTCCCTCCAGGGATGTTACCCTTCTGATGTGCAAAGAGTTGGGGCCACACAGCATCTGTCTTCCGAACTCTTCATCCTGACGGAATACTTTGGAAACTTTCAATGCATCAAGGACAAGGTCTTTGGGCCATTCCATTTCATCTGATTGCTCTTTCATATAATCTCTGTATTTCTGAAAAGAGTCGGCCTTTTCCTCTTTGTACTTTCCTAAGATTTTTTCCTTTATGTTTGACAAAGCGTTATTTTTAATCTTTTTCACTCCTTCAGCCCTCAAATCGTTAAAAGCGTCTAATTTCGCTTCCCTAAACTTTAGAAACCTCGGTAGATTGTCATACTCCATGATGTTCAAGTAACCGGGATAAAAATATTCACTTGATTCATTTTTGAAATCATTCCACTGAACCAAGGAGTGAATGGTTTGCAAATCTTCTTCTCTTGCTTTGATGATGAAGTCCTCAGTTTCTTGGTGTTTCAGAGTTCCAGCTCCCTCTCGAACGAGAAAATGTGGCGGGCATCCCAATTCGGCAACAGTAGGGTTTCCTCGCATCGGGTTATGAGGGTACACAAAGTTTTTGATGGGGAAACGGTAAGGGTCCCGGTTATACACGATTGTTATTTCCCGTACATACAGAGCATCCTTCACAAGTTCAAATCTGTTGCTTTCCAAGTCTACTTTAATCAGTTTTGGTACCCCTACATTGGCGGGAAGCCAAAAATCTACCGTCACTGCCCCTTCTGTCATCATCGGGAAGAGTTCCTTGACTTTAAGGGGTTTGGATTCCGAAGTCTCACATCCAGGGTTAACCGTCAAAATCATCATTCCATCGTCCCATTTCTTGGTTGACTTCTTGGAAGGAATGTAAGAACCAGTTTGGATGATGAATGTATAGGAAGCTTCTTCTCCTTTGTTTTCTTCAACACCGTTAACTGTCATTTTAACGCTCAAACTCTAGATATAAACAGGATTAAGTTTAGATTTAGTCAATATTAATTTATTTAGGAATGAAATACAGTAAAACCCCGATTTACCGCGGCCATCTTTTTTCCCCCAAATAGAGCTTTACGTGTATAATTTAAAAAACAAAACCCCGATTTACCACGAACCCTTATTTACCGCGGATTTTTCCTTTCTCCCAAACTCCGCGGTAAATCGGGGTTTTACTTAAATAGGATTATTAATTATACATACATATAACTAGTTACTAGGCACACAGTGACACAGTATAAGTTTGTAATAAAGCAAAGTGGAAGCAGGTAACAAGGTCTGATAAGGTACAGAAATGAAAATCATTGATTCCATTACAACATCAAGCTTCGAGGATCGGAGGAAACACAATAGGCTCTTTCCTTATAAATTCTACACTGGGAGAGGTTCAGGTAGTTACTCTAGCTCTCTAGTGAGTGTCCTGCATGTAGCCATACAATTACAAAAGATGGCCGTTTAGGAACATTCAAGAAGAGAGCAATCATTTGTGCATCAACCTTATTTATGTATTATCTGTATTTACATAATATAGTAATATAATACATTACATGATACATAATATATAATATGATAATACAACCGTAACCCTGTCCCTATGGTAAGGGGGAGCTTTCACAATCAGACAATAAAACAAGCCGAGGAATCTCCAGAGATTGGTAAATATCTTCAAATCAATGAGTTTGGGGATCAGGGAATATGCTGAGTGGCTCAAAGAGCTTAACAAATACGAATGAGGTAATAGGTTCAGTAGTTACAAGATCATGAAGTGTGTGGCTGTTTATACGATGCATTGAGCTCAGATTAAAATGCTTAAGTCAATTTACTGCGATTAATCTGCTCATATTAATTGTTCGATGGAATGAAGAAAGTCTAAAACAAAAGTCGGACTTTTAAGATTTTGATTTGGTTAAGAAACTAAATTTAGTATTACTATTAGTGAGCGATCTAAAAACGTAATTTTCAAAAATGTCTCAAAAATGTCTCATTCGATATATACGGCGATAATAAGGTAACTGAGTTAGTGTATCTATCATACCAGATTGGAAATACAATAAACAACCAAGCTCGTTATAGAACTAGTGCAGCAACAAAACACTCTGCTTACCACTAAAAATTCTGTCTAAAAGAATGTTATTTTCGTCCCTTTATACCCGATGGGCAGTGGGCACGTCATCACATAGCGATCTATTACATCAGATAAAGAAGCTCCCAGAATGCAAATTTTACTTCATTCATGCAGTCATAAATATTTCCGCAACTACTGCAGCCAGATGAACGACTATAAAGAATTTTATTGTTGTTCCTACATAAAGATGCTCTCAAATGGCAAACTTTAATCTAATCATGAAGACTTTTAGAATTTTCTACTGCTAGATAATATGCTAGATTATATTACACAAAACGACCAGCGAATGTGAAGTGCTTGATATGATCGCTTACAGCACGGCTCCGGTGTGTCTATACACGTGGTATCCGAGTGACGTAGTCACGAGGTACTGTCACGTGGTATGACCTGTGATAGTTCTTAGCCATTTAGAGGGCTGATACACCCTGATGTATCAGTGTTTTTTTACTTCCTTCCACTTTTTTACTTCCTTCCACGCTTCAACCTGGAGCTCGCCTGTCACTGATACTTATGAAAATACAGTACGTTTATAACGGAGGTCACATGAACAACACCAAGCATCCATTGATATGTTAAGAAATCGCCACGTGATACCCAGATGTCCTGCACGCTACCTGTCAGATGGAAGGCCTCTCATTGGACAAGGAACACTTTTGAAGGTGTGAAAAATCAGTTTTTCGGTATTTTCGACCTCTTAATTAACTCCAAATTTCAAATTTTTGGCCGCAAACGGTAAATTATAAAACTGCTGACAAAACTCGTGCCTTCGGCACTCGTTAGGTCAGCAGTTCTATAACTAACCTTATAGATGTGAACTGTTATGGCTTTTATGATTTCAGGAATTATCTATATATATAGCGAATCAGCGATACATGCGATCTGCACGACAAATCACATGCAAAACTTTTAAATAAATCTCAACAGACTTAAGATAACTTTTATATAATAACAACGATCCCGAGATTCAAAACAGCTTCTAAACTAATTCTGAGGATCTATGCACCAATCTATAAGTGATTAGGATTAAGCGATGGAACATAATTTGTCGTTTAAAATGTTGCAACTTGCATGACTAAAGTAAGTATTATCCTGGACAAAGAGTCATGCTACTCTTCACATCTTTACATAATACATATAATAATTCTAGCTTCAAGCTATTTATAGATCAATAAATAAGCTTAGTAACCGAAGTGCAGAGGACCTATACTAGAGTGCAGAGGACCTAGACAAGAGTGCAGAGGACCTAGACAAAAGTGCAGAGGACCTAGACAAGAGTGCAGTTAAAAATTAGACATGAGCGACAAACTGAACACTACTGAATTGCCACTTTGCCATAGTTAAAACGTTTAGATTTGTGTAAGCTGGCAAGCAACTAGCAAGCTGAGTTCTGTGTGAGTGCCTGCCATTCTGCCAAGTCTAATCTGGCTGCATGCTACCGCCCTACAATCTACATGACAGAGCAAGGAGCAAGCAAGTTGCAGGACAGCAAATAAGAAACAAGTAGATATTTTACAATGATTAATGTAATGGAGCTTTGCTTGTAACTCTGTGAAGGTTCTCTTCGAAGATTGTTTTTTATTTAAAGAATAGTGTCTGTTGAAGGGTTGCAATTGTGTTTCAAGAAGGTTTAATTGTGTGCCAAAACAACATTAAGCTACGTAATTATAGACTAAAGACTAAAGTTTTCGGGGTGTATGGGAGAAATGTCCTGAAAACTGGAACTGACAGTTCAGATGGAAAATTGAAAATCATTGGATCTATCTTGGAAAGGGTCTAATGTGATCCTAATGATAACTAAGTTAACACGTTGCACTAATCTACGGAACTAAACAGCCAGTAACGGGTAATTACAAAATGGAACTTATTTCAGATCCCTTTATTGGGTCGATCAACAAACAAGTAGGTCAACAAGACAAGGCAGCATGAAATCACAGTGCTTTTCCCATTCATTTACAATTACAATAATTGTAATAGATTATTATTAAGAAGAACTACCCGAATGCAGCTGTACTCGGCAATAACGACTCAATAATTATAAACATCAGCTAATTGGACATTAACTAGTATACAGCCCTTATCCCGAATTCCGAAATACTAGGTATCGAGTAGGTATCGACCTGAAAGCAACCCAGAGAGATTTGTATATCATTTGAATGTGCTGTGATTGATGTAATTTATCGAAACTTTTTAAAATTCGTAAGCCGTGCGTGAATGCAGAATGGGAAAAGAGAGCGACCGATTTCATTCTCGGTATCAATTTGCATTTGCAGACGGTCATTCAAATTAATATCATTTACTTTTGTTTGGGAAAGAGAGACACTGCGGCAGCGATCCACTCTACCTAATTATGGGTTTTGGTCAAATTATGATATATAAATTATAAATATCCCTAAAATTAAAGCGTCATTCTGATAGTTATTGTATTGTAATATATTGAGAGTTATGCATGCAACAATTCACTCAATATGTAATTACTGCTTGCTTCTTTGCATAATACCGTATTCCATATGCCCTATCTAGTGACCATGATTGGCCAGTACGTGCCTTATGTCCCTTGATTATAATCTGTTTCGTTCTTCATCACTTATGATCTCATTTCATACCTAACATGAACAACCATACTTAGTATTTACGTCATATACAGAGAAGAGGCTCCTCGGGATATCTTACTATTTATAAAGCGAGACGATATATATAGGTATATAATTGTGGGCGGCGTCGTCTGCTGACAGTGCTCAATCGGCAAGCCGAGAGCTAGATACAAAATTTTCATTTTGTATAATGTATATAGGTATATATATATATATATCTCAGATAACGATGTTTAATAAATGATGCAAAGAATTTCGAAGATCTAATCAACACCGACTTTTAATGTGTAGGAGTACAGCAACGAAATATATATATATATATATATATATATATATATACAAATTGAAACGACCGGTTGAATCAGACAAATGTTTCAATCATGATACAAAACCATGATATCATCAGTGACAACTGAGGTATAGGAACTAAAATTAAAATTACAAAGCTAAAAGTTAACATAAATATATTATATATATATACAACTACAAGCGTGTTTGTTTCTCCTTTCAGCAAAGTGCTCGGTAGCTCAACAACAATTTCGATGTTTATGGATAACTGAATAAGCTTTGTAAACATGTTCTAGAAAGTCATTATCCAGACCGAAGCAAAAACTTACAGAAACCTGGCGAATGATCGAGAATATTCTATCATGATTAAGCTGACTACTAGCAGTAGGAAACTTTCCTACCCCTAGTACTAGTAGTCAGCGGTGCTTAATCAAAACAGAATAGTCTCGAAGTTGTGCACCACCTGGGGTTTTAAAATGATGAAGTCACTATAGTGAGTAGTACTTAGTAGTCTCCAGACGAAGTACCTGGCGGTATATGTTTCAACTTTGGATGATAATGAGAGAGCTAAAGCACCGCAAACATTTTGTTATATTACCTTAGGTTCAACCGTAAATTGTACAACTAGAATGGGACTGCGGTGAACCGTGAATGACGATAATTAAATATTGTCCGCTCTTATTATATTTATTCACATAAAGGGCTCAGTCAAGCGACTAGCTGCTGAGTATGTTATTTTTAAATGTTAATTATTATTAAAGCATTATGAAGTTGTAAAGCATATAATAAAGCTCAAACTATTATAAATAATAACATACTATAGTACAATCTCAACTTTAAAGAAGCATGCAACTAGCCTAGCTAAACGATTGGGCAAATGTTGATTAGCCGCACAGAACGTGTTGAACGTTTTTATATATTCCAGTAGCTAAACTGTTGGATAAGTGACATGAAGTGTTA